TACGCTTAGCATTGGAAGACTACATTTTCGGAGAGGGCCACATATGCGGTGGCGCTGTAATTGCCCCCTCTGTAGTACTCACCGTCGGACAGTGTGTACACAAGTAAGTTCACGCAGCAAGCGCATGCTCGCAACATACATATGTACATACATAAATAGTGGTATCATAAAAAAAAACATAAACAATTTAATCTTATCAATCACTTTGGCTTATTAATTACTATAGAATCGTATATTTCAATATTTATCTACATATGCGTTTGTTTATAAATATTTATGTATGTATGTATGTATGTAGTTACCAAACGCAGACATCGCGTCACCCGGCTGAGCTGAAAGTTGTTATGGGTACATTGAATCGTTATCAACGCACCGAGCACACGCTGGTTTACGGCGTGACACACGTACATCAACCGAAGACATTCAGCGCACGCACTTTACGCGATAACATAGCGATTATAATGCTGGAACGTGATATTCCACCCGCACATCCCACTGTAAAACCGATTGCTTTGAGTTCGAAGACATTCCGCAGCGGCGAGGCGCCAGAAATGCTAAGCGACTCAATCGATCGGCAGACGTTTGAGGTGACCAGCTGGTTTGCTACAGAGCAGGTGAGCTTAGTAAGCATTGTAGAACATAACATAACGTAACATAGCATAAAATAACATTAAATAGCATAGCATATCATAGTACAAAAAATACATAGATAACATAAGAGAACATAACATAACATGACGTAACATAACTTAACATAATATAATATTACATTATACAACATACTCCAACTCGATTTTCAGTACAAATTCTTGGGCTCGATCAGTACAAAAATTTAGTCTTACAGGGCAATTCTGGTGTGTCTCTTGAGAGATCCGGGTTAGAAACCTCGTGTAGCGAATTTTTTTCACTATACATATTTTTCTTTTAATTTAATTATGTATATATTAATTATTAGATTTAATTTTCTTACAGATAGAAATATATTCATTTAATTCCATTGATTTTAAGAAACTATTTTTTTTACATTTTTTTAAGAGTTTATTGTTTTAAATTTTTAGACGCGTACTTAATGTAATTTTCTTTTTTTGTACTTTTTAATTAAATATTTTCTGTATTTTCCCCTTTTTCCTTTTTATTTTAGATTTTATAAGTTGAAAAGTAAACAAAAAATGTTTTTCTTTTAATTTAATTATGTATATATTAATTATTAGATTTAATTTTCTTACAAATAGAAATATATTCATTTAATTCCATTGATTTTAAGAAACTATTTTTTTTTACATTTTTTTAAGAGTTTATTGTTTTAAATTTTTAGACGCGTACTTAATGTAATTTTCTTTTTTTTGTACTTTTTAATTAAATATTTTCTGTGTTTTCCCCTTTTTCCTTTTTATTTTAGATTTTATAAGTTGAAAAGTAAACAAAAAATGTTTCATTTTACTTTTAAGATCTTACTTTAATTTTTTGTCTTTTTTAGTTTTCTTTTCTTTAATTTTTAGATTTTGTTTTTAAAATAAAACTAGTTTTCTTTAATTTCATTTAATTTTTAAGTACGATTTTCTTTTTTTTAATTTTTCTAATTTTATTTTTCTAATTAATTTTTATTTTAATTGTTAGATGTTATTGTTTTAGAAAGAAAAATCAGTTTTTTAATATTATTTTATTAAAAAATATATTTTTATTTATTTGCTTTATTTTTAATTTAATTTTACTATTTTTACTTTTTAATTAAATTTTCTTCCATTTATTAGTTTTTTTTTGCTTTAAAAAGAAAAATTCATGTACATAATTTTTAAATTAATTTAATTTCAAAATAAACTTTTTAGCAACAAGTCGAACTTTATTATATACACTTCAGAACTTTCAAAAGTCTGCTATAGTTCACCCCTGACTCTAAAATATTTTCGCTAGGGCTGGGAGTTCGATACGAATTTTAAGAATATCCGAATATTCGAATATGTATTCCAATATCTGATTAAAAATTCGAGTTTTTTTGTTTGTTGCCCGTAAAAATTCGACCACTAGGCTCATAAAAAACATGTACATATTTCGAAATTGCCTTGCAAAAATACAAAAATACTTTGAACTCAGGGGTGTACATCGAAACTTTTTGTGTTTGTTTGTAAGGTGGTACAGTCAAATGTATATACAAAACCCAAACAGTGGTTTTTAATATTCCCTTAGTTTTCTTGAGCTTTAACTTACTGACATTAGGGTTGAAAAAGGCATTTTGCATTGATTGCTTTGATATGTCTAATGTTTGTGTGCGTGACCGCATGACTAATCTTTATTTTACCAAAAACTAATAGTTTTTACTTGTTTGCAGCACGTTCCTTACACTCAGCTCATGTCGCTTAATGCCTCACGACTGAGTGATGAACAATGTGTGGAAAGGTATGGCCCCCTCTATGGACCGGATACGGTGTGTATTGGATATAAATATGGGCAACAAGAAGCCGCTTGTGAGCAAGACGCCGGTTCACCTTTGATCCACAACAATCAGCTGCTGGCGCTTACCTCAACACAAAGCGTCGATTGCAAAAAGATTTCACAACCAGTCGTTTTCGTTGATGTCGCCCATCACGCCAAGTGGATTTTGGAGCAAATCGGTGATGGCACAAATTGTAACAGCTCCGTTTGGGGCACTCTGGCATTCTTACTCTTTACAATTTGGACTGCGAAACGGGCGAAATGGCATAAGTTTTTGCTTTAAATAAAAGCTATAATTGGGGGATACATTTTTTTTTACATTAGTTTAGTTTTAATGTACCATAGTTTGATAGTTACGAAACTATTCTCAACCATGTTTCTTAACCTTTTAAGAAGAATTTAATAAAGGCTGAATTTTGTTATTCTGTAAATTGGTATTATTTTTTTTACTGTAAAAAAATGCTTGCGTTGGTAATTATTACATACTTATGTTGGTAATTAACAGTTTAAATAATATTTGTATATAATAAGAATATAAACTAAGCAACATGCAGATCTGCTCTCAAAGTCAGCGTAAAAAAAAGTATTAAAAATCAATGCAAAATCTTATTTTTTCTAAAAACTCATAAAAAAAATTAATTTAAGTGATTTTTTTTAACATTTAAATATTGTTGCGATTTTTTTACATTTTGGGGCAACCAGACAATTGTTTTCAACTAGTCTTTATTATGTAAAATTTATTAACTCACACAGGAGAATCGATTTTTTTTTCAAAATATCCTTTTTTTCCGCACTTTGCACTAAAAAAATTTAATATAAATATATAAACATTCAAAAATGTAACTCAACTGGTCTCTTTGTAATTTTGTAAGTTTTCATTAAAAAAAATTATCAAATTAGTTGAAAAATGAAGTGAATTATGAACATTAAATTCCAGTCTTGAACCACTGTGCGTTGCTTTGAACGAACTGCATTTACGTTCACTTCTCTGTTCTATCACAAAAGGTGAAAATATTTTTTGGGCAAATTCAAACATTAATTTTGGGCAGCTAATTTTTTTTTGAGGACGACAGTATGAGCTGGTTGGCTGGGCACATTCTTGTTAAAAGAAAAAATGTATTTTTGATTTACATGTTCTTGTTAGATTTACTGAGCTATGTAATTTCTAGCCTAAAGTTATGCTACAAATTTGAGTAAAGATCAAACGAGTGTTTGCTGTTATAAAATGTGAAAAGGTATGCGCGTGGCATGCCAGTAGGAAATCGCGAGCGTTTTTTTAATAAAAGTTGAGCTTTAATTTCCTAAATTAACTCTTGAGATCAAACTTGCAGTTCATCAATGCAAAACAAATCATATATCAAACCAAAAAATTTCGGTAAATTTCGCATTTTATTTTTGGCTTGAAAAAAAAAAAATTCTTGCTCGATATAACAAAAGTCTATAGTTCACTAAATTCTTTCTTTTTGGTTATAAATTGGCTACTTTGTATAACATTCGTCATTATTTCTGGAGCAGTCCTTCTCAATTTTTTTTTCACGTACCCGCTATGAATAAAGTTGACCAAACGGGTAGCGTATGTATCTGTGTACATACATAGACTACCCTGCAGGAAATGTATCTAACTATTAGTTAACTTGAAGTTTCTTATGAATGAACTAAAGGTCACTATTATCTGTATATTTTATTTGAGGAAAGCTAACTATATTTTTATGTCGATGGACGCGAAATAGTCAAGGTTGGTTAACTCTGCATTAGATGTCAACTAACTTTGTATGTATGTTTTTTTTTTTATTTTTTTTACTTGTTTATTATTTACTTTGTTCAACATTACATATGTGTAATAATATATAAAATTTCGATCTTCATTTTATCTGTCACTAATTCTTCTGGAATTCCGTAAAAGAATCGAAGCGTGCACAGCACTTCCATTTTATTTTAGGAATTCGGAAAAATAGCAAAAAAGGATATAGTGATTTCTTAACGAATTCGTTAAGATTTCTCTACTAGTCTGATTATTCCGAAAGTATGGTTTGCAGGGTTGATACAGAAGGTCCCTCACTAATTTCCACAGAAAATCCAGGTTAGTTCAAAAGTCGGTAGATTACTCACTAAAATACTAATAGCATTAACATACAATTTCAGAATCATTAAATTAGTAACGTAAACTAATAACTGAATAACTTTAGTTTTCAACAACTCTATTGGACAGGGCCTTTTTATGTTAAGGCGATCAAATCTTGTTCATTGCTAAAAAAGCAGAAATATGAATTTGCACATTTTTAAAAGTTTTTCAGCATTCGATATCTACATATATTAAGAAGATACAAAAAACGTAGAGCATAATAAAACACGATTTTCCGAAACAAATATTTAGTAATTAAGCAAGAAAAACGCAGCAAAATTTGTCACGATTTTCACTTGTTTATTCCAAATATTTGTTTAATTACATTTTGCTTCTCTTATTTATGGTATATGTACATACATGCATACCCTGCTGGAAAATCTCTGACAAGAATGCCAGTTCAATATTTAGATTAAGTACCTGTTATGAATGTTTATTAGGGTGGTCCAAAATTGCATGTGAAAAGTAAAGTCAGAATTTTAATGCTCTCACCCCCTAGGATTGTTCTATACCCTAAAACATATACTCCTGTTAAAAAAAAAAGTTTCCTGGAAATTGTATAGAATTCTTGAAAATCAATATTTTTCGATTGGAAAACTGCCAGTAATAATATCCAATTGTTTATTTAACTGTGTATTTAACTGTACTGTACCACATAGTATGTAAATATGTTGCTCTTCGGAAGCCATAGTGGGCGGGAGGTATCGTGTATTGAGTGTCACGAAAAATTGTTTTATATTCATACATATCTACATATGTACATATTTATGCACGTAAAAATAAATGTAAATAACTACATACATACATACATACATATGTACATAGTATATGCAGTATGACTAAATAACGCATTTATTTTTATGGCCAATAAAAACTTGTAAGTGCATTTGGCACCTGACAAATATATTCAAAGATAATTGAGATTTTGCACACATTACTGTTGACCTCGAATTGCCGAAAATTTTAGGACTGGAAGTTGTTTGCAATAAATTTGTTAAATATGTTGGCTACCTCAATAAGAGGTTTGAGAGGACAGAAGTAAGTCCTAAAATTTATTGAGCTAAAAAAAGGCATACTGAAAAAAATCATATTAAAAGTTTCAGATCTTGATGAAAATTTGTTAAAATTCGTCCAATTTTTACAATTCTACAAAGTCTGAAATTTTTGATTTACATGTTCTTGCTAGAAAGTAGATAAGCTATAATTGAAAGTTAATGCGATTTTTGAAAAAAAAAAACAGCCAAATCGTGCTAAAATGCCTCTTCCTTGTTTGCATCTTCGCCACCGCATTGATTTTTTTTGGTTGTGATAAAAAAAAAATATTTTACTCAAGGAAGTGTCAGAACTTTTATACTTCGTCAAGCAATTTTTCACATTTTTCGCTTAATAGAGTTAAATAGTTCTTCTTCATTTTTGTAGGGAATCAGCTTCTTCTTCTTAAGTATTCTAGATTCCTTAAATTAACGCTATTATGAACATTATTCTCCAAGCCAAACAAGTTATTGCTGGGAGTTTTGTTGTTAGACATACATATGTATGTATGTACTAATAGAGGATTTTCCATGCCCAAAGCCACACTGATAAGGCCCAATCAGTGTTATCATACTTGATTTCCATCTATGTACGTATATGTTATGGATATTCCCAGTCTTGGAATCGATTATTGCTGCCTTATTTTCTGATGAAGTCACGCTCTTCTGTCCCTCTATTCTCCTTTTTTTTATTTATTTTATGTATTACCATGGTACCAGCGATCGGAAAAAGCTGAAAAATTAACATCCGTAATGAAAACCCATCCCCATGTATGTACGTTGCGTATACGCAATAGCGGTCCAAAATCAATTAAACAGACGAATTTGTGATTTAATGTTATAGTGACATATCTACATATATATGTGCGTAATACATACTTATATCCTAAAAACTTTTCTTCACAAATTGAACATCTTGGATCGCCAAAATTTGGGCAACAAAATTTTAACGACCCTTTCAATTGCGTGGACGTGTGTTTTTAGTTCCGTAGCGCTGTACGAAAGCACATAAATTTTATTTATGATCACAAGCTACATATGTATGTATGTAGAGTATGTAAATATGCTNCCTTTCGCTATTGATTGGGCGTGCTACATTTGGCGAGTGATGAGCCGACTTTCAAGAAATTTTTAGTATATCGACATCACTACATTGTAAAGTTCCTCACATAAGTAATTTGTTACAAATTTATATACATACATACATACACGTGCATAGTTTCAATTTTTTCAATTTCAATTTGTTGAAGAAGTGGTTGCGCATTTTAGTTACGGCAGGATAGTGACTTTTTCCGTGCGACGACTATTTGTATGGGGGAAGAGCGGTCAAGCCGAGTGAGGGCTATGAACCGCCTAACATAAATTTCTGACCAAACTTGCGTGGTAGTATGGCGGCTGGTCTCCACAGCCACTTCCTCGATGAGTTCAGCTTTTAGTATGTGTTTGCAGGAGGTTAACGGTATGCCCCATCTTGAGCAAATTTCCCGTTAGATTTTAGAGTTTTTCTATCAGCTTGGCTATCAGAAGATATATAGTAGCAGGCCGTTCTGAAGGGGCGGAAGCTATGAGCCGCCGAGCAGTTCGGCAAGCGGAAACAGAGGTTTAGTGCGAGTTCATCAGAATAAATCCCGCTATGCACTCTTTTGTTAAGCTTCAAATCAACTGTATATATAGCCGTCTATACTAGGTTTAGGTCTGTGGCACATTCCCATTCGTTTCGTCTCGGGGATTCTTATGGAGAATTTGTTGCTTAAATAGAGTAGAGTAGTGGTATAATCTAGTTGTCGTAGATTATCCGGTACAGTTTCAAGGACCAAGGAATCTGAGGTATCTCCACAGCTGATTCGTATTCCACCTGGCCACACTACAGCCGGCCCGTAGCGATCCAACGGCGGGATATTTAAAATTATTTCCAAAGATTTGGTGGGTGCAGTGCGTAGTGATCTCATGCATGTTACCGTTTCACATTGGCTCTGGACAAAGTCTTGTCTAAGGCAGGTGACCCAGTAGAAGAGGATGGGTGTTATCACAGCTGTTGTTGTTGTTCTTGTTGTTGTAATAGCATACAGATTCCCCAAAGAGTTTTTGGAAAGTATTACCGGATGGACAGTCCTTGGCGAGGTATAAATCTGGGTCGTTCCGGTTACGTAGACCCGACTTCCGGGTGAACGTGTACATCCAGTGTACTATGTGAAGTTTTATTCCTCCTGTTTTGTTGGCTTACCGGCATACAGGACACCATTGGCTTTCTTGGTAGAATTGACGCTAAGTCCACATT